AATTTTTTCTTTTTTTTTTTGTTTTTGTTTTGGGTTTTTAGCTTAAATTGTGTCTTCAAACCGTGGTTTCTGCAGACATTTTAGGGTTAAAATTCGAAATGTATACAAAAAATTTAGGTAGCAATGCATATGGAGTTTTTCACCAAAAATGTTTGACGAGAAATTTGGAGACTTGAGGGCGCATATGAGAGTAGTTCCAAACATATGAATACATACATATAGTGGACTCAACTTTTGCAAACTAAAAAACCTTAAAACTTACAAAATGAACCAGTGCTATATAAATACAGTCAAAAGTCGTTAATTCGGACACCCATAATCCGGACCTCAAAGCTAAAAACTTTCTGCGCATGCGCTGCGTTGACACATGCGCATAGGCGTTTACGCGTGCGCGTAAGACCTTACTACTGCGCATTCTACATGAGCGCGATATGCAGAAGACAATTTTCGCGAGTCGCGGAGCAAAACAAATAATGTTCGCGTGCGTGTTTATGTATAATAAATGGATAAGCTAAAATTTCAAAATTATCTAATTATATACTTTCAGTTTCAGTTGATGAGTGTGTTCCTTAAAGATAATTCGATGGATCCGGCTTATTATATTTTGCAGACATACTTAAGAGCAATTTTATGAAAAGTAAACTTGAACTTTCGATTGTGTGTAAAAAAATTAGGTCTTTTCCCTGAAAAGAGCTGGAGCTCCCCAAAAGGATGTTCTCCAAAACGGTTTCAAAATAAGAGAAAAACGAAAGTATTTTATTGCATGGATTTCATCAAGGAAATTTGTCGGGTGAGCGAGATTAAACCCTTGCATTATTTCGCGTTGAATTTCCTTATCAAAGCCGGTTACGGGCTTGACCCCGGGAAAAATTGTGTGTTTGAAACAAGTTAACAATTCGTTTTCTCATCCTATTTACGAGATTGCATTAAATCAAAAAACTAGAAGGAACGACGCTTTGAGGCTTGGGAAATGTAGAAAAAGTAAAAAATAAATATTAAGGCCTTTTTAGGACTTTAAATAGGTTCCTAACCCTTTACCGCTCGAGCCAAAGGAATTAAGATGAAAATTATCCAAGGGGAGAAGAAGTAAGTGCTGGATTAACACTTTTTAGTGTAAGATAACCAATGTAATGATATTGCGAAAGAAAAGTGGGGAAAACTAGAAAGGAGCGTCGAAAATGGAAAGCTATGAAAACAATGATGAAGGTGAAGAGGGGAAAATGGAGGAAATACTGAAAATACAAATTTAAATACTAAGTTGAAGGACAATGTACGAGGAGATAACTTGAACTGCGATAAATGAATTAAGGAAAGAAATGACAAATTAAACAAATGTGAAAGAAAGCGTATTTTAGAATGTACAGATACATATAATAACGAGCCTTTTACACAAAAAAAAAACTTTTTCTTATTGCGGAATAAATGGAAATCTCCCGAAGTTTTCGAACGAAATTAATCCACTAAATTATTATAAATTATAGGTTCAGATAATTGCTTTGAAGTAGTTTATTTTGGGTTAAGTGTTTGATTTAAATGCTTTGAAGTATTTGTTCTGCCGAACGGAGTGAATTGGGGCATTTACGTAGAGAAATGCAGGGTGCCATGTTGTGGTGTTTTGAGTGGTGTTTTGGTTATAAAGGTAAACCTCTTAGTGTTGTTTAATGGAAAATGGAATGAATGCGGCAGGATTGTGGGAATAGTAAGAGTGTCGTATGTGCTGGTTACGAATGTACATTGCTTGTTTTGAAAGGGTAAAATGGATGAATGCTAAGATTAATTTGAAGAAGAGCTGAGTACAAGAAAAGAGAAAAAAGATTCTTGACTTGATAAATGAAGGTTTACTTAGTAGCCATTATTAAGTGTCTTGTTTGTAAGGAGGAAATGCGTATGGTTGGATGATACAGCACTACAAAAGATATTTCTTACTCTTATTTTGTGCATTTATGTGGCGATGCCAGTATACAAATTCTAGTTCAGATAATTTTAGGATGTTAAGTTTTGGGATGCTGTTAAGGAATTTTGTTTGACTGAAGACGTGTTAATTCGTAAATAAGGTAAGTGGATATTTCCTCTGAGTAGTGCAAAGATGAATTTCCTTTTTTACGTTATTTCATTGTTTGATTTAAAATGTAGTTTATTGAGATTATATATTTGTTTGTTGGCTACTTTTCTGAGTTTTTAAGTGAATACAGTTCGATGTGTAAGATAATCAAAGTCAAGAAAGTGCACAATTCTCTGATGATTTTTTTTTAAAGTGAAAATAGGTCGATGTGTACATGAATACCAAGTTTGTGCAATTCTTCATCTTGTTATTTTGGCTTTGTGTAGCAGTGATTATTGGCGCAAAAATTGCCGATACGCAAGCCAAAACAGCAAGCCAAAGAATTGCACAAACTTGGTATCCATGTACCGCCAAAAATCAGCAATTTTCGTCAAGGGATACCCGTAAATACACTTTTACCTAAATATAAATATTCATAAGTATTATATTAGTTCTTAAAGGTGCCATATGGATCAATATTAATTTGATTTTAATTTAAAAATTCTCTTTCTTTCTGTGCAAATATCAAAAATCCAGAATGGGGGGGAGGAATCCAGATTGATAAAATTTTCAAAAACTTTCAGAATTCCTAATCTAGATTAAGCTTCCTAGCTGCCAAGATGAAAAGGGAAACAAGAATTTGCATCTACAATTGAGGCAGACGTATTGCTTTTTACGTATCACAAAAGCTGTATTAAACAGAGAGAAGAGACTGAAGTCTGAAACCTTTTCTCTCATAAATGGTAACAAATGAATAAGCATTTCTCAACTTGGATATGGGTATTATTCAAAACATTCTAATTTGGGGTTTTCTTCCGCAAAGGATCCCATTGGTGCTAATTTTTTCTATAATAACTTATTTTATCCTCAAATATGATCAGTATACTGTACGACCTTGGTCGTACAGTGTACTGATCATACTTGGTGCAATTTTGAAAACTGCTGCTCATCATAAACACCACGTTTATTGATCTTCATAATATCACCAAATCCCATGTATACTGTATACTAGGATTAAGCCTCAGTCCAAAATAACACGTAATGGGTAAATTTACATAGAGACAAAATAGACTAAAGCCAAGGGCAGCAAAATTTGGAAATATTCGAAAAATTAAATTGATAATAAAAAAAGACATGATTATGAATATATTTTACACAAAATTTCAAATGCACACTTACATACCTAATACAAAAGAATAAATAGTAGGCAAAGATCCTTGGCCTTTTAACTCAAATACTGGGCATCTGAAAAGTTTTGTGGTTTTCCAGATTACAGCATGTTTTCTTCCAATTACTTTGGTACAGTAGATATGGAATGACTTTAATCAAACCTAATACTTATACACAGTCTTTTCTGCTCACTTGCATAATTCTAAATGTGTTGAAATATAATTTTATTTTCAATGCAGTGTTAAGAACAGACACTAAAGTTCATTTTCACTTCTCTTTTATTTTGCAGAAGGAAAAAATGCTAGTCAGACAGCTCATAAAATATGTACTGTATATGAACAAATTCCCGTTTTTGATGACACAGTTTGAAGATGGTTTGAGAAGGCATGGAAATTTTGGCATCAGAGATAATGGCTGCTGTTGAGGACTATCCACTGTAAACTGTACCTATTAAAAGAAGCTACTGCTGAACATTCATGTTAAACAGTTCAGGAACTATCAGAAAAAAAAAACTAAATATTCCAAAAATTACAGTACACGATAATTTGAAGAAGATTAGGTATGTAAGCTGCCATGATACATGTTCAGCATATGATTCTTTCCTAAAAAGAAACCAAGAATCTCCTTTTATGAAATGGCTAATTACTGAAGATGAAAAGTGGACACTATGCAATACTGCTGCAAGAAAAAGATCATGGTGTAAGCCAAATTAACATCCTTTAGTAACATCGAGAGGAGGGATGCATTCCAAAAAGTAATTCTTTGTGTGTGGTGGGATGACAAAGGAATTATACACTATGAAGTGTAGCCATCAAATCAGACAATAAATTTGGAAAAATACTGTTTCCAAATGGCAGTTTTAAACCAGAATTTAAAACAAAGAACTGACTAATTATAAACATGTTGTCTTCCATCATAACAATGCTTTGGACATATTCTGATAAAATCTATATAAAGACTATTTGAATACAGGTTGAGTGTTTTGTGTCACCACCCATACTCACCAGACTTTGTACCCCTGGATTTTCATCGCTTTAGTTCGCTTCAAAATTATGGGTACTCTTCTGTTATCGGAACTGGACTAAAAAATATATGCATGTATGCATCTATGTACATATATGTGCCTGGAGTTCACTTCTTTAGAGATACACACATACGGGTTTAATCCTAGTATCCAGTGCACACAGGATTTGGCGACTTTTATGATGAGCAGTAAAAACGGGACATATACTATGAGCAGTAAATGGGTCATTCAAAGAATATATATAGTTATACATAGTATATACTATGTATATAGCATTCAAAGAATATATATATAGTTATACATAGTATATACTAGGTTTATACATAGTACATACTATGTATATAGTGTATAGTATATACATAGACGTTCTTTGGGTCATTTTTGGTGTTGGCGATAATTTTCAAAATCGCGCCAAGGCTGCACCGTATACAAGGATTTTACCCACATACATGCTTGCATGAACACATATATACATACATACATTTCTGAATCTGGTCCGGATAACAGAAGTGCCAAATTATGTGAGCCTGGAGTTCACTTCTTTAGAGATTTTCAAACACTACTTCGATATCTTCTTCGAATAATTCACGATTCTTCATGAATAAACCTAATTTTTTTTAAAAAGGAGAATTTTCTAGCTGTCGAAGACATGGCATCGTAAATTGCTACACCAAATTTCTAATCTCTACTAGAGAAATTTTGCTTGAAGTTAAATACTTCAAATACGAAAGATGTTTAATAGTTGTTTATAAATATTATACCTACCAATCGACGAAATTCTCCTTTATTTGGCTTCACATTAGCTAAAGATATACGAGGTAAATACCTCAATAATTCTAGAGCTTTTTCTGCACCTTTACTACTAGCCATTTCCTTATAACAATACACAATTTAATTAAAATTCCTTACTAAAGAACTTAAAAAATTATGATACCCAAATGTTTCAGATGCATTTATGCATAACAAAGATTGTTTCCATCTTACTCAGCGCCATGAAACAACACTTCACGGAAGTGCACCTTTTATACACTTTCTGGCAAGACAGACAGACAAGCGCTTGGCCCCAGCGCATGTTCACAGCAGTGCACAGAGCAGAGTAAATAATAGTAAATACGAGGCGCCTTCAGGAAAATGACGACACGCGCAGTAATCTGCGCAGATGTTCAGGGAGGAACCAGGAGGAAACTAGCTTCTGAGGGGCTAGACGCTTGTCATTTCGAATAGCAATTGCATCAAACAGTCGTACGATAAATGCGAGTAACTTGGTTAACCGATTCGGTCACATCCACTCAAGGCCCGTCCACACGAGTACGCTCGAAACGTAGCTGACGAACGCGCTGTTACGTTACCAGCGTAATAAAAACGTCCAAACGAGTACGCTTGCGAAGACTGCGTTTAACCAATAGAATTATTTAGCGCAAAAATCACGTGACGCTGTGATATAGCGTCAACAGAGCTGTATCTTATTACTTCGCTGGTTCTTCTGTATGTTTGCGGCAAGTTGTCCGAATCAGATGATTTTTTTTTTTTTTTTTTTTTTGTAGCTGAAACTTTACTATTATGTGCAATTATTAAGCAGAGGCAAAACCGCAAAAAAATGGCAAGAATGGGTCCGAAAGATTTATTTAGAGCGACCTGTTCAAAGAGTTTTTTTTTTTTTTTTTTTTTTTTTTTTTTTACTGCCTTGTTTGCGAAAGAAATATCTGGAATTATTAAATTCCTACTGTTAGCTCACACTCTCCCTATATCTTGTTCAAATTTTCAGTACATAAAATGCTTTTTATTCATCCACTCAAGTTCAAATACAATTTTTTAAACTTGCAGTGAATGACACTTGAATTTAATACAGCTTTTTCACATATTAAAATTTTTTTAATTTTTAATTAAAAAAATTATGTTTGTATTTTTATTTATTTATTTATTTATTTTTGTATTTTAAAACTTTTCTTTGTGAACCTAAGTAGGAATTGACTTCATTTTTTTGGGGTAGGGGGTATATTACTTGTTTTTTAATTCCTTCAGGATGAGTATCGACCTGTTTGACAGACTTGCAGATTCTATATCGTATGAAAATTAGGATTTATAAAATTTGTTTGTAATACAGTATATAAAGAGAATTAAATTACTTAATTCTCTTTATATACACCATCCACCATATAATAAAACCACTTTCATATTTTTTAACTCGCTCTCCCTCGGTCTTTTGTTTTTCTTTTTATTTATTTTTGAATTTAGAATGAGGTTCAAACTTTGGACAGTTTATGAGAAATTATGTGCATGATAAAATATGCAATAAAGTAAAAATAAAGAGAGAATTTATAGATGATATATGATAAAGAGATGCTGATATATTTTTACATAAGGATTTCTATTTGTACTGCACATTTTTAAACTAAATTAAAAACAATAATAATAATGAATAAAATAAGAAATTAAAACAATAATAATAGGTAAAATAAGAATATAATGATTCATGATTAAATATAAGAAACACGTTTCAAAATGAGAAAAGCTAACTGAATTATACCGCCTACGGGTGAGGTACGAACTTGCCACCTTTCCACTCCTCCGCCACTAGAGCAGCGCGTTGATCACTCAGCTATCTGTGATAGCAGTGTTTGTGAAAAATAATGTAACAAGTAGAAGTCGCTGCAAAGGTAATTTAATTAAACTTCAATAAATGATTGCTGTATGAGACAAGTTGTAACTTTCCTCCAAAATTTCGTAATTGTATTTTATTGAATACTCTTTCACAGTCAACTGCTTTATTTTAGAAGTTATTATATTGCTGAAGTTAGTTTTTGGTGTATTTAATATTGGGATATTTATAGAGCTTTTTATTACACATGATATAGCCAATATTTATAATAATTAAGGAGAATTTTGTAAGGCAGAAACTTTGATTTCGTAGAAACTGTAATTTATTTAGGTTCCTATTACTTACGGTGTTATAAATAGGTGAAGCATATGGATATACTGGTCGGATCATTGCTTTATAAGTATACAGTTTTTCCCTTTAATGAAAATTTTAAATGTACACTAATATGTACGGTTTGAGAAATCTGAAGATGGCGTGAACAATGCTGATTATTTTATTGCTGTATACAGTTATATTTCTAAGCAAAAACTCATCTCTGTGTGGCTCTGACGCCATATTGAAACGGGTAAGCAAGAAGGTTTTCTGATTATGACACGTGATAAGAACTCGGTCGGCTATTGGCTGTACGCGCGCGTCGCGGGCGAAAAAGCTGAACAGGAGCGTACTCAGTTTTACGTCTTCTGCGTCCTGCGAATTTACGCCGGCGACAAAAAAGTTACGTCAACTACGTCGGGAGCGTCCTCGTGTGGACAGGCCTTCAGAGGTTAGCGTCGCTGCGCGACGCACGCATCCTGATTTGTTCTGTAAGTATTTTTGCTTTCTCTCCTCATGGCGGCCAAAAAACCACCAGATCGTTTTTGGAATAGGCGTGAAAGCGACAGCGACATGGATCCCGACTCAGATTATTCCAACTCATCTAAGAATAGCGGAAAATTAAAATTTAAAGATTTTCTAAAACCCTCCAGTTTAGAAACTAAATTGCAGCAGCCTAAAGGAATAAAGAAAAGTAGCTCCCCCAGCACTGCGACTCCAAAAACCCAAGATTTTCGCGACACCATGGAAAAGTATAAACATATTTTCCCTAACTTTTTTCAAGGACTCGGAACTGAATTAGATAAAGATCCCAGATATCAAATACTCAGAAATGGAGCCCTAACTGAAATCTTAAATAAATCCCAAGAGCGTATGATTGAACAATCGAACTTAATGGACACCGGATCGATGGACGAGAAAGATTACGCAGAAAATGTGAAAGAACACGAAGATTTAGTGAACTCTATCAAAGAAAAAAGTTTATAACAATTTAACAGCTCCAGAAGCAGATAATAATTCAGAACAAAATTGGTCAATCCCCTCAAAAACATGCAAACCTAATCTAAAACCTAGCGAAAAAGAAGAAATAGAACAAAACAACAGATTCGAGCTTTTAAATGATAAAGAAAATAATGAAACTACTGAAGTTAAAACTAATCATAAATCTGAAATAAAAATCCCACCAATAGTCATCACGCAAGTTGAATTAGATTGGATTGATCTACAGAAAATCTCAAGCACTAAAATCCTAAAAAACGAATATGAAACCCAGATGAAAGCCAAAAAAGTTTATTTAAATACTTCCACCGAAGAGGATTACAACAGCGCCATCGAATTTCTAAAGAAATCATGCATAGAATTCCATACGTATCAACTTTATTCCAAAACTAACATTAAAGTCATTCTAAAAAATATGCCCAGAAGCATCTCAGAAACTGCAATATTTGAAGACCTAAAACTTAGAAAATTCCCAGTACTAAAAGTTAAACAGTTCACAAAGAGAATAGAAAGTGATTTCATAAAATTACCCATATACTTCATTGAACTTGAAAGGAATAAATTAGGAGAAGCGATTTACAACTTAAATAATATGTTTAACTTCAATATCACTATTGAGAAATATGCACCTAAAACTAAAAGACCAATTCAATGCTTCAAGTGTCAGAGCTATGGACATTCACAGGCGAATTGCTATAAAAAAGAAACATATGTTGTAAATGTTCCCAGAATCACAGATCTAATACCTGCTCTTTAAAACGTGAAGAAAAAAACCCATCTGCTATTTTTGCCGTGGGGAGCATGTATCGTCCTACCGTGGTTGCCCGATTTATAAAAAGCGTTTTCAAACTCCTAAACCAGCAGAGAAAACCCAAGAGATTCCAAATCTTAAAGATTTCCCAGCACTCGCAACTAAATCTGAAACTGAAATTAAAGAAATTCAAAGAAACATCCCATTCAGCGCCGTCTTTAAACAGCAGAAGATCCCAGCAGATAATGATAATCCAATATCCCAAGTTTTTTCAAACCCTAAAGTTTTCAAATTCATTCAAGATATGAACAATGTTGCAGTTAATATTAAATCAAATACAGAAAAACTTTCTATCGCTTTCTTAGCAGTGAAGATTGCTCTTGATTTCGCAGAAGAGGAAAACTAAGTTCAAAATTACTTCTTATTACTTCCTGATGTTCCAATAGATGGCGACACCCATGCGACGATGTTTTCACCAGAAACTTTCCACTTTAAATAAAGTGGAATTATTTTCTCACTAAGACGTACCCCGCAGGGTAAATAATTTCTGAGTAAAAGTCCTCAGGACTATATACTCATAGATACCCCAATTCATACCAACCGATTCGGTATTTTGAGTCAAGTCAACCGATGTACATGTTTCTTCGCAACGAAGCATGCAGTTTGCTTCAGCTCAGCAACGGAATTACGTATTTAACGTATTGAAACTCATGTTGTAAAACGAGTGCTTTAAAAAAGTATATGCATAACCCCATCGGAGAAAAGCGAAGTCCTATCTACTTGGTATGAATTAACCATTAAGTATTTGGGAAGAAAAAGAAGGATTCTTAACGGGCACATATTTATCCAGACAAGACGGAATCCTCGTTTTTGTATATATATGTAAAGTAAAGTTTCGTAGTTTTGATTTCACATTTATATCCGATGAAAAAATTCTATAATTTTTAAATGATTTAAAAATATTGAACTAGAAATTACTAATTTATAGAACTAATAAGTTCTGTGAAAATTCAATAAGTTTTTTATTAGAAGCTAAGCATTTCTAAATAAAATCTGGAATCTTGGAGCGTAGTTTTGTTAATTTTGTTTAGTCTATATAGAAGTGCATGATAAACCTGTTGCACAGTGTGTGCAGTTAATATATCAGTGTTTCATTGATGGACATCCTTGTACTGTCATATCTTTTTATTTCGTCATGCTACCATTTGTTTCTGATGTAGAAAGCAAGGTTGCAAAATTGCTGAGTTTATTTATTGGTTTACATGTTCCAAGTTTACTATTTTTAACAATTAATTTTTACTATTTTTAACAATTGAAATTAATTTTTCATTCAATGTCCACGATTTTCTTTATCAGAATGATAGTAAATATGGAAGTATAACAATTTATTTAGACTAAATGACAGTTTCAATATACATATAATCATTCATGCAGGACAGAAACCACATCTATTAACAGGCCATTTAATTGTTTTGAAAGAGCATATGCTTATTGACACTGGCAAGAAGATTTGCACGACTAAGGTTATGTAAAAAATCACCTACATGAAATGGTACTATGAAAAAGCACATGTTCATTCACATAAGAGAGGTATCTTATGTGTGTCAGGCATAAGACAAGCCATTTAATCAAAAGGATAATTCGGTACTTTTCCGTTTTGCCGGCGCAAACGATAAAGTCGCCAATAATGGTTTAACTGATGCCAGACGGAATATCTTAGCTGGTAACCTTTTACGCCTCAGTTTCAAAACAAGTTGAAGCCATTTCTTATCAGATTGTTTCTTTCAATACTGGCATACAATAATATAGAATTTTTACACGATATTTAAATTTTATCCCCTAAGACAATTCACGGTAATAAGTCAATTAGTTCTAAGTCAATTAGGTTCTAAGTCAATTAGAACGCAATTACACCGCTCATCCGAAGGCGAAATCAAGTGTTAAATTCATCAATTCTAATGAGAATGCACTAGCGAGGTAAAGCACTGCGGTTTTACATAATTTCTGAGTAAGCTATTCGTACGAATTGAAATAATTCTTGCATTTAAACTTGTATTCCAAATTAAGATTTAACTTGAAATTAATGTAGATAATTACTGAGCGAATTAGATTTTAGTAGCGTAGTTTACGTGAGATGAGATCACTTGGGGCACGTGATACGAACCGACGAATCAGGATATTGAACCATGAAAATCATAGTAAATTCTTAAATTAATGTCTTTTTACAAATTTATTGTCTTTATTTATTAGCTTTTTACAAAATTTTAAACCATATTAAAATGTTTATGCCTTCAAAATAAAAAATAATTCTTAGAATTAACATTTTTTATGTGTATACTGTATGTTGTCGCCAACAAAGTCTGCTTGGCGAGATTTGCGCCGGCGAAACGGAAAAGTACCGATAATTCAAATATGCATATGCTTATTTACATAGCAGAGAAACCTCATATGTGTGAAATATGTAATTTAGAGTAATGGATGCATTAAACAACCATATGCTTGTTCACACAGGAGAAAAACCTTATGTGTGTGAGGTATGTAGCAAAGCATTTAAAATTAAGAGTGAGTTAAATAACCATATGCATATTCACACAGAAGAGAAGCCTCATACGTGTGATGTTTGTAAGAAGTCATTTGCACTCAAGAGTAATTTAAGAAAGCATATGCTTATTCACACAGGAGAAAAACCTCATATGTGTGAGGTATGCATGAAACAATTTAGATTGAAGGGTGCATTGAACAAACATATGCATATTCATACTGGAGAAAGATCTCATGTATGTGAGGTATGTAGCAAAGCATTTAAAATCAAGAGTGAGTTAAACAACCATATGCGTATTCACACAGGAGAGAAACCTCATGTATGTGATATTTGTAAGAAGTTATTTGCAGACAAAAGTAGCTTAAGAAAGCATTTGATTATTCACACAGGAGAGAAACCTCATATGTGTGAAATATGCAACAAGTCATTTAATCTCAAGGGTAGTTTAAGTAGGCATATGCTGATTCACAGAGGAGAAAAATTGAATGTTTGTGAAGTATGTATGAAGTCATTTAATCATAAGTGTAGTTTAGATTTCCATATGCGTATACACAGAGGAGAGAAATCTCATGTCTGTGATGTATGTAATAAATCATTTAGCAAAAGGAGTAAGTTAAGTGAGCATATGCATATGCATACAGGAGAGAAACCTCATATATGTGATGTTTGTGAGAAGTCATTTGTAAACAGCAGTAATTTAAAAAAACATATGCTTATTCACACAGGAGAAAAACCACATATGTGTGAGGTATGTAACAAGGCATTTGCTTTAAAAAAAAGTTTAAACAGGCATATGCTTCTCCACAGAGAACAAAAGTTTTATGTCTGTGATGTATGTAAGAAGTCATTTAATCAAAAGAGTAATTTAGATATGCATATGCTTATCCACACTGGAGAAAAATCTCATTTGTGTGAAGTATGTAACAAGTCTTTTGGAACAAAGAGTGAGTTAAGCAAGCATGCACGTATTCACACAGGAGAGAAGCCTCATATATGTGATATTTGTGAGAAGTCATTTACTGATAGCAGTAATTTAAAAAAGCATGTGCTTATTCACACAGGAGAAAAACCACATGTATGTGAGATATGTAACAAAGCTTTTAGAATCAAGAGCGATTTGAATAAGCATGTAAATATTCACAGAGAATAGGAAGATCATATATATAATGTATGTAAGAAATTATTTACATGGAGCAGTAATTTCAGCAAGCCTTTGCTTGTCTGCACTATAAAGAAACCTCATGCTAGTGATATATGTTACAAGTAATTTAGTAAGACATTTTTAATAAGCTTATGCATCACACCGGAGAAAAGCCATGTGTGTAAGGTATGTAACAAGGCATTTAATCAAAAATGTAATTTGAATAAGAGGGCACAAAATCTCATCTGTATGTTTATGTGACAAATTGTGTAGAATAAAGAGGGAGTTAAAGCATATGCTTAGCCATACAACAAGGAAGCTGTATGTAGCAAGTGATATCAGAAGAGAAATATTTTGAATGAGAATGCAGAGGAGAGTAAATTTGTGTGTGTGATATATGTAATAAGTCATTTAGTAAAAAGGGTAAATTAAAGGTGCACATGCATTTTTATACAAGAATGTAGTTTTATTTCTGTGGAGTAAGTAAAAAATCGCTTACACACAAGAGTAGTTTAAAAGCGAATGTACTTGCTGATTCAGGAGGAAGATTCCATGTGTGTGATTGTAGGTAAATTGATTAGATGGAAAGGTGATTTAAAGACATTTAGTTAGTCCACACAGAAAAGAAGTTTGATACCTCATATCTTATAGTGGGAAATTTAGATTTAGAAGAATATTTGCTAATATGGCAGAATAGTTTAGACCATGTAGCTGAGAAATCTCATTATGTGAAGTATGTAACAGGGCATTTTGGCTTAGTAAGGCGTTTAATAGTTTGAGGGAGAGAAAAACTTCCAATGTACGTGATGAGCCAAGTCACTTCAAAGAACTGCAGAATGAAAGTAACATTTAATTTTTGGTAGCATATAAGAAGTATTCGGTTGCAAAAGAAATTTTTGAAGCAGTGCATAGCTAGGCTAACTGAAAATATTTCACTAATTTGGAATTGGAGGACTCTATGGCCCTTGATTTCTTTTTCTCCCATAATTTTTATCATCCATATTGGATTACATGTACTGTAGTGTTCACAAGCAGTTTTAAACATGATATGTACTGTTCTATGATTTCCTTTTAAACATAGCCAACAAGGCATTTTTCACTTTTTCTTATTAAAAAAAATTCTATGTTAACAGTGTCCTGATATAAAATATCACTAGGTAATATGCAATGTATTTTAATACTGGGATATCAATTTAAGACAATGCCACAGCAGTAACTGATAGTTAGGCCTTATCTTTGAGCATATCCAATTTTTTTTTTTTGCTCATAGTTTTACAGAAATCATTTCTAAGATGTTTTACATAATGATCAGTGTTAATTGTCTAATTGTAGAAGTGTGATGTTGAAATAAGTAATCTGCCAGTATGGATTTTGTGGATCACGTATGTGTTATCACCTCAAAGTACTTCGGGGAAAGTGCAGAATCGCCCACTGCTTCTCGCGTTTCACAAAATCACCAACTAGAAAATAACAAGTCAAAGAATTGCACAGATTTGTGTACTACAGATTGTTGTGCGTATTAATGTACACATCGATACGTGCCATATAAGTGGGCGATTCTGCTTTAACTTGAAAATAACAAGTCAAAGAATTGCTTAAATTTGGTATCCATGTACACATCAACCTATTTTCACTTAAAAACATATCGGAGAATTGCACAAACTTGGCATTGTGCACTCGCTTGACTTTGTCCATGTACACATCGATACGTGCTATATAAGTGGGCGATTCTGCACTTTACCCAGTACGTCTACTGTTAAAATGCTAAAACATGGCTATATTGTTAGTGTTACATGTTAAACTTGACATGAAATTTAACACATATTGCAAATAAATTTCATGTGTGATACTCATTGAGCAACTTGAATCAGCCTTTCCCTCCAACGAACATAAGTGCATATATTTAGGTACAGTAATTAGAGATGGTCTTAAGCAACTGTTTGAATTAGTATTTAAAATTGGGAAAAAGTGCAGAATCGCCCACTGCTTGGCATGTTTTTAAGAATTGCACAAACTTGGTATCCATGTACACATCGATCTATTTTCACTTTAAAAAACATCCCAGAATTGCTCAAAAATAGCATTGTACACTCACTCCCATCACTTTATCCATCGACCTATTTTCACTTAAAAAGTCAAAAAAAATTTACAAAAATCCAATTCTTCTTACTCTTGTAAATAGCGCCAAACAAATAAGTAGGCCATTCTGCACTTTACCCTCTATACTGCATGGCTCTTGCATTTTAAAAATATTTATATTAAAAAATACAATTTTTAGAAGTATTTGGCAATTTTTTCAAATGTGTATTGAAATCTTCAGTTGTTTAATATTGTCATGAAGTTCTGAATGTATTTACAAATATTTGCTTAAGCAAGAATTCAGAATTCTAACTGATAAGATTTACACTTCAAAAAAAGTAAACTATTTTTATTCTATTATTTGAAAGTTTTAATTTTGTTGTTTTTCTACTTGTATATGTAATTCCAAACAATATATTATTTGTGTCTTTTAAAAATTATTCTCGTATAAATTATTTGTTAGTTATGTCATCGTTTTATTCGAAATATGAATGTTTGAAGTCAGTTTATTATTAATTTTTAATATATTTCTATTTTGTTGCATAATTTTATATATCTCTGTAATACTAAGGAAACTTCACTATAAATGGGAAAATAAGGGAGTATTTACATTTTAGCTGTAACAACTTTGAGCACTGTTGCAAGTTTTTCATACAAGAAATGGATTGCTGTGGTGAGAATTTCATGTTGATCATTCCAAAAGTACACTTGAGGCAGTAGTTCCTTTAGTAAATTTTGAGTATAATATTGTATACTTGCAAAAAGGTTTGTTACAAATTATATTGAAACTTCTTGGAACTTAAGAGTGCAACAAAAAGAATATTTATAAAAATGTGGACATTATTTGTTAAAACTGGAGAACCTGTTTGTGAATGATTGGTGAAGTTTGATATGTTCTAAGCATTTATGGAATTCTAACTAGTGATTGTGCGTATGAATAGGTAAGTATAAAAAAAAATTCATTTTTTTAAGATACAGAGCAATCTTAAAAAAAAAAAAAAGAGGTATTATCCTGTGTATTAATCAAAAGTTTCTGTGTGCAATATACCAGGAAGAATTCATGATTGTAGATAATATATTAATTAATATTATTAAAATTATGATCCTAAAGAGCAGAAATTATAAGTGCATATAGTATTTAAGTATGATATAAGGAGGCAAGAAATATCAACATTACTACCAAATGCTGTGATTTATAATTATTGATGTTTTAAAATGCTAATATAAAAAATATAAATCATATTTTCAGAAGTGTCTGAATTTGTGTTTAATTCTTGAATGTTGTCGAATGAGTTCATAATGCACTTTCTACGAAGAGATGCTGTAGGTGAAATCACCTCATATGCGGTCGGGTCGTAAATTTAGAACCCCTTTTTTATCGGGGGGCTGAAAAGGAGGGGATAATCTTGCTCGTGGTCTGGAGAAAATGTGGGGGTCGTTTAAACATCTAACTTCTCTACATTCAGTTTTATACAACTTCGAATGAATGCAATTTTGTACAATGAAAATGTATTACTTAACGATAAACTGTAAGATAAATAACATCTTTTTTTTAAAGCCATAGGTGTAGAAAGACAGATATTTGTTACATGAATGAATTTGTAGTAAATATTGAGTTTTTCATTTCGAATGCTATGTTCCATGTATGCGAAGTAGCTGAGTATGTGAGATAATAGTCATAACTGAATGGCTTTCAACCTTTTCACGGCTAAGGACTGTTTCTCAATTACATTGTGGTCGCTTCTTTTTGGTTAATTTTCTAATGACATATAAACAAGTTAAATAATACTGAAAAATACATTATTGATGCACTTTTGTGTTTTATATGTAGTAATATTAACTACTACTATAATCCTTAAATGGAATATCTATGTATAGGTATGTATAAATGGAACCAAATATAGAACAAGGTATAAAATATCTTTATTATACAATGTTCATTACCATACGTATATTTACGTAATATCAATATAAATAGTTAGTTAGGTTTTGTAAATACAGTAAGACCCCGCTTAACGCGGGGGATACGTTCCATCAGAGCGTAATGCGAAACATCGCTAAACGAGGCTATCTTTACATGTAAATATTGGGGTTAGGGGAAGATGGCTAGGAAATTGGTTAGGTATTAAATTTAAAAAGTATGTTTTTTTAATAAAAATAAAACCAAACATTTATTTCTTAAAGCTCAAATTAATACCACATTATTATTTCTTGCAAAAATAAAAACAAAATATAAATAACAAAACGAATATTCTTAAAAAAAAACAAATAAAATTCTTAGTCAGTCATATTTAGTTAGCCTTCCGCGTTTTCAGTGTTCTGCCTTTTTGTGACAAAAGCATCTAATGTTGTTTGCCTTTTCTTTTGCGTTGTTCTCTTAAAAGTTCTTCATAAACGGATAGAGCATCTCTAACACCACGCCCTTACTTTTGAGCTCCTGTCAAAATTCGGATCATTTTCAATGAATTGATCCATTATTTCAGTTATGGTAGACAAACTCCTTTTTACAAACGCCATCGAAAGTTCTTTTTGCTCTTCTTCTGAATCACTGCTGTCAACATTTTTGTTTTCTTCTTGTTCAGTTAATTCCTTGAGCATTAGAAAGACTAGCCGCTGCTTCTTGAATTATTTCTTCGACATCTTCCACATTTACCCCTTCAAAATATGTCTGTACAATACCGCACCAAACAAGAAATACAAGTACACTCTTTCGGATATCTATTTGAAACCTATCGCTGCATAATATTTCTGGGAATCCCCGTATGCTGCGAGCGATTTCGTGGAATCCCTGGGTTGAAATAAAAGAGCGCTAAACCGAAACAGCGTTAAGCGGGGTCTTAGTGTATATAATTTATTTTTATATTTTGTATTTTTTGTATCAGATTCAGTATTGTATACGTATCTGAAGTTTAATTTGTTCTCTTTTTGGGTTACAACCAGCGCCGGCGCAAGGTTATCCGGCGCCCACCTGCAAAATACCTGAAGTCGCCCCCCCCCTTTTCTAAATTTTTGTATAGGAGGGAAGTTTTGAAGAAAGCATTTGTTGAAATTGATTTTAATAATTTATTTTTCTGCATTTCATATTTACAAATTTTTCTATAATTTCTTTCGCATCTAGTTCTTGACAGATTTCATTTTCAATGGCAATCAAAGCTAAATATATGAGTCTTTCCTGCGATATACTTGAACGTAAATATGTCTTGATCAATTTTAATTTGGAGAATGATCTTTCGCTACTAGCAACACTAACAGTAATGCTAAGTAGTATTGTCAGTACGATCTTCAAGTTCGGGAAGCACAAATTATTTGACACAATTAAGTTCAAAATATCGAATGGGTCATTCATACCGGCTGTAAAAATGTCTTTCGAAGCTACTATTTCGTCATAGAGTTCTGCGTTAATATCTTTATTGTCACCACACTGTAACAATTTTTCTAATTTATCACATTTTATTTTCAAATTTGCGTTATCGATTTCTGATAAATTACCCAGGAAACTAAAATTATCGTAGTGATTTTTCATTGAATCAAATCTTTTGTTTAATGATGTCCAAGCAGGATCCAAAATTCTAAAAAAGACATTTGCCCTAAACTTCTCTTCTGGACATTGAGGAAATTCGTCAACATGTTCGTAATCAAAGTGACATTTCTTTTTCCGTCTTTGGACTTCTTCAACAGTTTTAAATTGTAGCTCGCCATCCACTTTTTCACTAAGTTCTTTGGCTTTCTCAAGAATACTTTTGTAATTGATATCACTTCTATATTCTTCAATGAATGTTTTTAAGTTACTTATTGCCTTTAAGGCTAGTGTAACACTCAAACCCTTTTCTTGCAATTGTTTGCTGACATGATTAATTCTGTTAAGCAAATCGTGCCAAACTATCAAGGAACAAATAAATTTATAATCCTTGATTTTGGTACACAGACTTCGTGCTTCATGTTGCACTTCGTTTGAAAAGCATTCATCTTCGGATATTTCAAAGAGAGCATCATAGATTTCTCCTAGTTGATATCAAGGAAGGAATTCATTTCGTAACGAACCTGTACGCACGCAACATTACAATAAAAATAGTTTACTAGTTTATAAAATAATATGATCGGTGATGAAAAAGATAACAACCTGGCAACTAGGTACCTAATCGCCTTTTATAAATTGCCGTGCCGTACACTTAGTACACCAGTTAGTGTGCTCCTGTTTACCTTGAGTATCGCTGATTACTTGAACAATGCTGAATATCTATCGTAGTATTTAAGGCGTCATGTTAGGTTTTTAAGGCGTTCGTTTTTAAGGCGTTAGGTTAGGTTTCGCTTTTTATCTTGCTCACATTCTTCTGCATGTTTGGACAACTGAAAACTATACATCAGCATAAGTTTTTAATAACCATGGAATTTAATACTGTGCTATAACTACTATTTCTTTAACTATAGGTAGATCAAAAATCAATAACCAGGATGAGTAAGAAGGAAACGAAAGGCACATATATTTAAATATGATTGTAGGCAAATGGTAATAAGAATATTACAATTAACTTATGTAGTAATTCTTGAATACTTTGTAAAGTTTTTTTTTCGGGGGGGAGGGAAAAAAACACACAGGTCCGCGAAATTTTTTCGTAAGTTTTACCGGTCAGCGGACCAAAAAAGGTTGAGAAGCACTTTTCTATAGACTTTTGCGTTTTCGTCCATGCAAATCTTGCCCTATCTTTCAACTCGCGTGAAAAATATGAAAAGTTGGTGCCTGTGTTCATTCTTACATATGGCAAAACGGCAAATTTTCCCTGATAGAAAGGGCTAATCCGTTCCTCCCTTCCCACCTTCATAGAAATTTTCAAGAAAAAAAAGCCGTAGTTCACTGTATACATTTTAAATAAAAATATAATAAAAACGATAAAATAAGGATAAATAGAAATTATATTAAGTAAAATAAAATAAGAACGTACTTCATCAAATGGACTTTTCTTTTCCAATGGTAGTAAGGTTATTGTGCATCGAAAATTTTCTTCACCAACCACTCAGTGATACTCAGTAAATACGAAAATGGAATGTGTAGATGATACATAACACGTGGCTTTCTAGACACATGGAAAATGACCGTTATCTGGTACTAGATGCGCAGAAGGGTCATTGTGAGTAATGAACAACGTCTGAGGGTATTACCTAGATTTAAACTTGCTCACAGCGTGAATTCCCAACTCGAACTTCTTTGTATGATACTATCCCTGACGATTGACGGATGGGTGACAAGGCATTGATGGATGAGCTGGAGAGGAAAGGTGGGGAAGGGCAACACCTTCTGTTAGGTGTTGGCAGGGGGCACGAACTCTCATGGTCCCTGTCCTGTGCATGGAGGTAGGAAAGGAAGGAGGAGCCAACCGGCGCTAGAAGTGAAGCACTGCTTTGAAGCTTGAGTCACCAGATGGGGTGTTCTTTGTTTACATTCAGAAGCTCGTTTATGGTCCTGTGTAAGCATTCAAGAAATATTTTTCTTCTTCTCCGATAAGTGCACATTCTTTTTCATTAAAAAAAAAAAAAAAAGCTCTGTGTCGTTCGCTGGTCGGCGCCCCTCCCTTAGTCGGCGCCCGCCTGCAAAGAAGGCCTTGCGGGCCCGCTTCCGCCGGGCCCTGGTTACAACTTTAAGTGAGAAGGAATTGTTAGGGCCTTCATAGGGATTACATTATATACAGTCAAAAGTCGTTAATCCGGACTCGTCAGGACTTCGGCAATTCCGGATTAGCGACTTTTCCGGATTATAGATCATCAGTTTAAATCTGGTAAGATGGCATGCAGGAATTATAAAATTAAAAGTATGAAACCATAATTTATGAAATAAAGAATGATTATGATCTAAAGGGTATCAAAATTTACAAAAAAAAAAAAAGCTTAATATTAATTTGTTTACTTTATTAAACATTTCTTTCAATGTAAGTTGTTTAAGTTGCTTCGTTTTATGTGATAATACTTTCTCTTTAATTCTATAAACAGACATAATTTCTTCTTCAGTTACAAAGTTCCGCTGTTAAAGTCGTATAATTGCTGTGTCGAGAATACCGACTAATTTGTCAATCGAAATTTTTTCGTTTTCAATAACCTCTGTATCACTTTCTTCTTTATCGGAAGTGAATTATAATGACGAGGAATTTGATTTAAATCATATCAAAGACGGAGTACATCGAGATGAAATACTACATTTAGTAAGGAATTATAAGCGAAATAAAATAAAAACATCTGCCCTGAAGATAAGGATAGTGCTGACAGATTAACTTCCAATTCATTGCGCGGCGCAGCGTTTCGGCGTTCCCCCCCCCCCCCTGGGCCGCAGAGCAGCGTGAAATTGATAAACAGATTTCGGAATGGTTTGAGAAACGAAGGATATGCCTTTATCCATTTTTTGCAGCAATTCCACTTTCTGTTTAATGGACTTCGAAACATACTTTCGCTTTGTAAATCCTTTACATATTAGTAAATATATATCGGAAATACTATTTGACATAATCGAAAGTTCAAGCTTACTTTTATAAAATTGCTCTAACAGTCTGCAAAAAATAATAAGCTGGATCGAATTCGAAGATTCAGGAACAACGCAATCTGCAACATTAAATGAAATAGATAATATTAGCTTAACTTATACCATTCGTTATACATTAAACGCGCAAGCGTAAAAGTGTTAAGCGCACACACATATTCGCAGCCGTAAAAGTCTTACGCGCATGCGTCAAAGCGAGTTTGTAGTCCGGATTAACGACTTTTGACTGTACAATCAGTTAGGATCCGGCTTTTCCTTTCTTTTAATCATTATATATATTGAAATACTACTTGATAAGTATACATAAAATATAGCAGTTTTTTAAGCTACTTATTTATATATCTACTGTTTGGTCTGGTTTGTTTGATTATAGCAAAGCATTCGACGGTTATTTGCCTAAGGGTAAGGGTGGAGAACTTTCTAAGCAAAACTGACTCTTATGCACATTACACGTGGGGAAAACCTCGAAAACGCCAACACAACCATCCCCGTCGATCCGGATTCGAACCACGGATCAACCTTCCAGATTTCAACGACTTTACAGCTCAGTCGCTAGTGAGCCACACACACACACATCCACACATATACATTAAAGTAAATAAATAGTATTTACATGTCGTTTATAAAGTATAATTGAGTGCAATTTAATCATAAAGAGTTAGAAAATATTCTTCGGAATTACTTCACTTCATAGACTTTTTGTTAAGCTTCACAATATTTCTTAAAGAGATTCTCAATGCTAGTTCCATTTTCAAGCTGTTTATGTACTGTATTTTTCATGCTTTGAATTATATTTAGGAAATTATTTCACTTGGTTATAGCTGAAAATGCAGTTTTTTTATTGAAGAATTTAAGGGTAAGAAGAGAATTATGCCCTTTGCTAATTATTCTTGAAGCATATAATTTTTTTTAAAAAAAGCGCACATTAATACGGATCACTGAACTAAAGTGCTCGATACAGGACAGATTAATTAGCTACTAAATTTTGATTTTTGTTAAGTAAAAATGAATTCATCTGCATTCTATAAGAAAGTAAATATTCAAAAAATGTTTTTTTTTTTCCTATTCTCGCAGTCATAATATTTTTCTTAAATATTCAGCTAATTCATATTCAAATATTCCAATCCATTACAATAAGTAATAAATCGATACAGTAAATAAATAATAAAAATCAATTAAATGGAATTTTTATTGATTTTAATTGCCATTTTCCTTCTGATAAACACCTCTTTAGAGTTCAATAGCAGTCGATCAGCTTTTTGTTGGGGGTTAATTTTTCCTTTATGGTATGCTTACGTTATGTATTATATATGTATGTATTATGCATTGCTCATACTTGTCAATTGCAGCTTTTAATATCTTTTAGAAAAAAATCAATATGAGAATCCAGAAAATGATTCTTAGTGACGCTAAAACTATTATTACTAGGCACTCTCGTGCCACAGTGTTTAAAAAAAATCACATTGTTTAAAGGTAGATTCTATGCTCATATTTTAGTCTAAAATTAAAATCTGCGAGTCAAAATTAAGGGGATTGCTCATAGAAAGCTTCAATTAGAAGTAGTTATAGGAAATGTTAATCAATACTTATAATTAACACTTATTCCCTATTACGGATTAAACACTTATTCCCTATTTGATCACGTGTATGGCAAACAGATATTCGTCATTCATAAAGAAAAGAAAGGTGAATCAAAATGAGTTATATTCTTGTTTTTCCAACTGCAAAAACATCTTAAGATACTAACGGATTTAAATCTTTAAATTATTCCAGTAATAATCAGAACAATGGGGGCCATTATTCTTAACTATAATTTACTAACGCAAATCCTATTTTGGTTTCAAATGGCTTTCATTAATTACGTTAATGATATACTGATACTGAATGAGACCTAAAAACACTTTAAAAAAAATATATCTCCCCGTATGATCCCTGACACAGCCGTTTACTTTCCCCTTCCGTAATTAACGTTAGTCTCCTGCTCTTGACCGCATTTGCCAAGCTACCGCTGTAGGTCGCTGGTAATATTAAAAGTGAAATTTAAGGCATGCCCCCATGGGCATAGATTTGGAAACTGAATGCTGAGTAGAAAGTAGATATTCACTAAATGAAACTATACATACAGATTATTTTATTAAGGTGCAAATTCCTTGATAAAGTCCCATCTTGGCAAGTTAAATTTTAAGTGAGAGTCAGGTTCTAATATGAGGAATACTACCATTTGACATTATGGTGCATTGTTCTTGGTGTCTTGAGAGTACTGTCAATTGTAAAATAACAGTTTAAGGTTAGATGGAACTAGACATGGTGCTACTTTGGTAGACGGTTGCACGGATTTTGGTGATTTTTCTTTTCGTGAGTAATACGACGTATGGTAAAAATACTATACGACGTATGGTAAACTCATTGTTGGATAAGTTTTTATGGTAACTGATACTTTGTTATTTTATTTTTAAAATAATGCGTTTTATTATGCATAAATTCAGTGTTTTAAATATTATTTATGGCTTCTAAATATTAAACATCAATTTAATTTTGCATTTTTATTTGAAATAAAAATTTTATTGTGTATGATATTTTATGAAATTTTATTTTGTGGGTGATGTAATCAATGACGTCACCTTATTTTAAAAGTAATTTGTTTTAATATCTATAAATTTAATCTAATGTTTTAAACATTATTTATGGCTGTTAAATATTAAAATACAATTTAATTTTGCATTTTTTTAAAAAATGATTTATTCTGAATGATTATTTAAATAATTTTAATTCTATGCGTGATGTAATCAGCTCCCTGATTGGTTACTGAATATTTATGCATTACCGCGCCATTTTAAAATTTTATTATTCATCTCTTCGAATTCCTCAGATTTCAAAGCGAATGGATATGTCCGTTTCGAAGATTAATGTTGTTATTGGTAATTATTAAGAATTATTGGTATCGGAATAAAAAAATTGCCCTTTGAGACCTTATTTTGGCTAACCTGTCTTTTCTAATCAAAGATTTATCTATAAATTGTAACAAAGAATCAGAGGAAATTTATTTTAAATTTTTGGAGGAAACCTTGCTAATTGCTTCTTCAATAAAGTGCGAGAGATGTGGATGTGAGATGAAGATTTTTTTTTGTGTACTTATCAAAACACGACAGGTAAAATACTTTAAAAAAATTTAAGTACATATTTTTATTGTACTTTATAGTTGTATACTTCAATTTTTATTAAAAAATTAATACATTGTTTTCAAAAATTCCTGAGATATTTATTGCCACATATTTTTAATGTTAAATAATTATATCCTATAAAACTTATTTTAAATTATTTGAATTTAACTAATATTTTAATTCTTTTAAACGTTGGTATGATGTTTTTTATTCGATATTCAATTTAAGTAATATTTAATCAATTAAATGTTGGCGCAATGTTTTTATAGCGGTGTTTTATTCTATTATATGAAAGTAATAATTTAACCTTACTTTAGCATTTTATACTTTTAGTAAATGTATTTATTTACATTTGCTAGCCATCTTAAAAAACGTTTTCAACAAAAAAATTAATCCATTATTTTTAACGATATTTATTTTTTTTTAAAGTTTCGAATACTTTACTATGCGTAAAATACGTAAAAACAGCATTTTTCAAGATGGCTGACGACTATAAAAAGCGCGCCAATGTAAATCGCCAAAAATCCGTGCAACCGTCTACCAAAGTAGTACCCTAGACATTATTAAACAAGTTGTGTGGATATATTGTTGGTTATTTAAGATTGGCATATATATTCTCAAAAGAATTATCCACTTCTAACAAAAATACATTATGGCAATATACAAAAAGAAAACTTTATTAAAGAAAATCAGACATAAGAAATCTTACCACATTCTACCAAACCATAATAATAAAAAACTCTCTCTTCCAGATACATTTTTAACTCATTCTTTTTACAATTTCATATCAATGTTGCCAAAATATTAAAACTTAAAATTATGCTTTATAAACAAATACTATCAATTCCCCCCTTATTTGTATTTAAAGATATAATTTTAATCAGTCAGTCATGTCCATACTTTAATAGTTCATCTTTTAATTTCACCCTAGGTAGATACTTTGTTAAAATATCCGCTTCTTGATTTTGTGAACACACAAACTGAGGAATGATTTGATTCATTTCATATTCATCCTTAATAAAGAAATATTTTCTATTAATGTGCCTTGAACTGCTACTTTGTTTTGGTTTTTTAATTCAATCTATTAATGCTTGACAGTCTGTTTTAATTCCTATTGGTTTGTCAATTAGATCATCTTGACCCAATTCTTCAAGTAAAAAGATGTACCATTTAACTTCACATGCACATTCGCAGATTGCTAAAAGTTCAGCTTCCATTGTAGATAGAGCAACTATTTTTTGTTTGTTGCACTTCCAATTTATGAAATTTTTGCCTAATTTAATGAAATAACCTCCAAATGATTTTCCATTTTCAGTGGTACACCAACTTGCATCTGATGTAGCATTTAATTTCCCATTGTCTGAAGTATACACTAAACAAGTATTTTGTGTTCCTTTAATATATCTAAATATCCTCTTCACAGCTTTCCAGTGTTTCTCTCTGGGATCTCGATTATATCTTGACAAATTACTTACTGCAAAAGCTAAGCCTGGCCTTGTGCCTGTTGCTAAGTACATCAATGAACCTAATGCTTCTTGATACTTTGTATTCGACACAGGTGGTGAAGATGCTATGTCATCAAGATTTTCACTCAATATTCCTGGAGTCTTGATAGGTTTACATTCATCCATTTCAAAGTTTTTTAAGATTTTAGTTATATAGTTTTCTTGACTGAGTATAAGTTTTCCAGATTCTTACCGGATGTCTATTCCTAAAAATTTTTGTGTTTGAGTGATTTCTCGTAATGTGAACGATTTAGATAGTTGAGAGATGATGTCATTTATCTCAGAATTTGAATTTCCAATCACCATTAAGTCATCCACATATACTGCTATGATAAAATATTTGATCTTATCTTTATAAATATAAACACACGGATAGTTAAATTCTTTTCTTTAAGAACTTTACATAATTCATCATACCAGCATTTTCCTGATTGTGGTAATCCATATATACTTTTGTTTACAAGATATACTTTGTTCGAATCTGATATAAAGCCAGGTGGTTGTTCCATGTAAATTGGTTTATCCAAGTGTCCATTTAAATATGCAGATTTTACATCGAAAAATCTTATTTTGTAGTTTTTGTAAACTGCAATCGATAGTAATGTTCTAAAGGTTGCAAGTCTCATTACTGGGCTAAATCCATCTTCATAATCAATTCCTTTTCTTTGATTAAATCCGGTTGCTACTAGTCTTGCTTTGTAAATTGTTTCTAAATTACCCTTTTCATGGCTTTTCCAATGAATTGTTATCATCGGGTTCATCATCACTATTGGATGGCAAAATTTTCTCAGCTTCTTCATCTGTTGTATTATCTTCTCTATAGTATCTGTTAGTTATGTTAATGATGTACTATGGCATCAGAGACTAGGTCATATAAATTATCAAAGGCTCATAGAAATGAAAAAACACTCATCGGTCATTGGATTAGAAAATGTAAAAATTTCTGAAAACAATTGTGAACCTTGTACATTAGGTAAAATAACACGAACATCTTATAAAAGTGTGAAATTTAAGCAATCTGAAGATATTTTAGAATTATGGCACATAGATTTAGTTGGACCAATTGAGAAATCAATAGATGGAAGTTGTTACTTTTTAACAGTGGTAGATGATTACAGTAATTTCATATTTGTGATAACAATTGAGAAGAAGAGTGAAACTTCAGAAGCTCTAATCAAACTTATCATTCAAGAAGAAAGACAAACAGGAAAGAAACTAAAAAGAATGCGTAGTGTGATAATGGTAGTGAGTTTTTAGCTAAAAAATAAAAAGAATTTTTTTTGAAAAAATGGGAATTAAACATGAACTTACAACCCCTTATACTCCGGAAAGTAAAAAGCTGAACGTTTTAATCGCACTATAATTGAATCTCCTAGAACTATGTTAATTGATGCAGAATTACCGATAAAATTTTGGTCTGAAAGCGTTAAAGTAGCTGTACATGTGAATAACAGGGGTCACAAAAATTATAAAAGGTTTACACCATATGAACTATATAAAGGACGCAAGCCTAACATTACTTATCTTAAAAGATTTGATGTGAAGCTTATGTTCATATAAGACGAGAAAAACGTAAAAAGATGGATCTAAAAGCTAAAAAAGGAATTATGATAGGCTATCAACTGATTTGATCATGGCCCCTTTTTCAGCCGTCATTATTTGTCGTTCTTCATCTTTAAAATTAGTAAATATTTCTGTATTAGTTGCCATGTGAGATGTGGCTCCTGAATCAATAATCCATTTAATTTTTCTATTCTCTTGTTTATTTATTTTATTCTTTCCATCATTTCTATCTTGATTAAGATATGAGCTTTCTATTTTCTTAGATACTTCAAATAAGCATGTAGCTGATTCATATTCTCTTTCCTTGCTTGACAGTCTATAAGTTTTATTTGTTACATTTCTCTGCTGTCGGCGTTCTTGTTTAGTTTTCATTTTACACTCAGTTGATTTGTGGCCGAAGCACTTTATACTATTATTATTATTTCGACATTCTTTTATTAAATGTCCTAATTTTCCACAATTAACATCTTCGTTCATATTTCGATTTTATCCAGTTTTCTTTTGCCTTAGAACTTACTTCTATTTCTTTTCCTCTTTGTTTATTTTTCCTTCTGTTTCTTTTAAAGCTTGTCTAATTGACGCTAGATCTTTCTCTTTATTGCTTTTAACAATTTTAACATCAAATTCAAATTCCTTTCTAAGTCCTTCTAGTATGAAGTAAATTAATTCTTTATCTCTTATTTCATCTCCAACTTGAATACTTTTACTTTTCAGAATAACAGCTCTATTCATATAATCATCTACTGATTCATTTTGACTCATTTTCAGTTGAGCTAATTCTATTCTGCATTTGATTTGAATATCTTCTGTTCTTGCCGCCATTTCATTTTTGATTTTCTCCCATAACTTCTTCGCGTTCTTTTCATTCGCATATTTTAACGCTTGTGGAGCTGTCATAGTTTGATTCATTATATTTCTTGCTATCGCGTTATTATCATCCCATATTTCCCAAGTTTTTATTTCATTTTCGAAATTAATATCATCCTTTTTATATGGTTTTGGTGGTTCATCAGCTTCTATCACACTTCTCCATATCTTTAAACTTCTTAATTCACTTTCAACTCTGTTGGCACAAATAAGGTAATTATCGTCACTTAATTTTTCTATACGACTCAAATTTATCATATTATATGCCATATTTTCTAATTTATATTCACTAATTATAATACAAGTCTAATTTATCTCTTAGAGAAATTGGCTATTTTGTTAAGCCTAAACAACATCAATGTTCTGTCTGAAAGTTTATTAACAGAGGGGGCAACCACACACAGCTATTTTATTCTGCCACCGTGCTTTAACTCCGTGCTCGATGTCAAAATGGAAACACGCTTATTTGGTTTTAAGATTGGCATATATATAACATTCTCAAAAGAATTATCCACTTCTAACAAAAATACATTATGGCAATATACAAAAAGAAAACTTTATTAAAGAAAATCAGACATAAGAAATCTTACCACATTCTACCAAACCATAATAATAAAAAACTCTCTTCCAGATACATTTTTAACTCATTCTTTTTACAATTTCATATCAATGTTGCCAAAATATTAAAACTTAAAATTATGCTTTATAAACAAATACTATCATATATTATTAAAATATAATCATGAATTTTTCGTATGCCAATAAAAATTTCTAACCATGGTATCTCAGTAATGTAGATTACTCATTGACCGTGGCACCTGAGATTTTATTCTGTAGAATGTCCATATAAATTTTCAGTGCAATTGCTCTAGCAGGAATTTCATAAGTAAAAATTGACTGGGTGCGATTTAGGTAAAGAGTTTGCTTGACAAGATGGTGAAGTTTGGACTTTCTTCCAATAAGACAATCTATTGCCATAAAAGTGCGTTGACTTTATTGAGAATATAAATAGCTGTATCTTTAAATTAATGCCTAACTGTTCAACCACTTGTGCGCAAAATGAAGAGAATTGTCAGGTTATGTCAAATTTCTGAAAAACTGATGGACAGATTTTAATGAAATCTTGTAAAAATATATATTTATAAAAGAGATGTACCTTTCAAAAATCATTTTATGTATACATGATTATCATTAAAGCTCATAGCACAGGGATGTCCGAAATCCACATTGTGGCATCGATATGAAAATGAGTCTTATATGGGGTATGGTACCTAGTTCTACTTTTATTTTGTAAAATTGGAATGAATTTAAGTTTGTTGGAATTAAAAATTCAGTAGGTTATCAATTAGTGGATCCATTTTCATTTATGTACTTTTAGTTACTTGTATTTATTTTTATGTTTAAAAGCAGTGTGTTAGTGGGGCTAGTTGAGTAAAATGAATAAATAAATAACTAAACACAGTAGATCACATATTACATTATTACCAAATACACAGATCTGTACTGGAATCATAGAGATGTTATCCTTGCCCAACATGTGCAAAGAAACATTTTGACTAAAAAAGGAAGGCTGTTGTTGTCTAAGTTAAAAAATATCAAGTATAATGTTCATAAAATGCAATATCTAATGCAAAAACAGAGAGTTTAAAAGTTTTCAGCCATATATCTAGGAGGCACCTCCTCTCCCGTCTGCTATCGAGTGGAAAAAGAAGACCAACTGGTTTTCCGACATCGATCTCAACAGGTATCCAGACTAGACCCCTTGATCTGTTTTATCACCCCACAAAGCGGGTTATAGACTTTGCGATAAGCAGGTTTTGGACTTAGCGATTTGTATTGTGTACTCTAACTGAGTTCCTCCTAGAACAGCTCGTGATTAAATCTCTCGCTTTCAGTTAGACTTTTTTAGTGGCTCTCGTCCGCCTTTTCAGCGTGAGCACTCCTGTGCTCTTAAACATTTAAATAACGTCAGCGTCCTCGGGCAAAAACTCCAGATATAGGTGAAAGCATATTGTAGATATTAAATACATATTGTATTCTGATGGCTAACAGTGAATTAAGTCTTTCTGTCGAGTGGGACAAAAACGAAACTTTTAGTTTTGTGCACCGAAAAATCTGCTTTCTTGCTACTGGCCGAATTGCTTGTTTTTTGTGTAGAAACTGTAATTTTAATTGTAAAAATTGTTTTTTTAATTATTTTAACTGTATTTAGTGCTTTATGTTTTTCTATATCTTTCAATTTTTAAAGTAGATAATTTGAGTTTTTGTGTATTTTTGCCTTGTTGCGAAGTGATGAAAGTGCTCTAATTTGAAGTGAACAGAACATAGTATTAATTATAGAGTGACTGTGATTTTTGATTTAAAAGATGTCTTAGAAGCTGAAAAGTATCTCGTACTTAAGAAAGTATTTCAGAAAAAAACTCTGTAAATAGAAAAGAACTAAGTTGTGATTTTAATATTTATTAATAATACAGTAAATTTGATTTTACTTTTTTGAATTGTTAACTGAATAAAATATATTTTGAGCAAACTGTTCTTGAAAAATTTCCATGCAGAATGAAGTGTTAAAAAATATATTCTTTCACATACGTAGGACTCTGAAACATCATAGGAAAAAGTAATATATACATTTATACAGACATTTACTACTGAATTTCGAAATATTTACCTCGGCTCAGGCAAACTCGACGAGTTTA